CCCCAAAACCCCAAAACCCCAAAACCCCAAAACCCCTCAAGTTTTATTAATTTTATATAAAGTAAATTAAGAAATATCAAATTTAAATTATGAAATAAAACTTCTCATTCCCAAAGTAAAAGAAGCCAACTTCACCTTAGCAACTTGATATATAGAGGCTATAGATCTAGGAACTATAAAATTAGGTAAACAATCTCACACAGTAACTCGCATCTGAAAAAATAAAGTGTGATCTCACGATTAAGTAAAAAGACCTAGAAATGTACAAAATATAGGGTCTGCTTAAAATTAAAGACAAGGAATATGCGAAGAAAAAGAAAAAATACAAGAAAAAGCTAATTAAATCAGTGGAGATCATTCAAATGCTCAAGAGACAGTTAGAGCTTGCTAAAAGCAATTTACAGCCTTAAACTAATAAGGATTACATAAATTTAGGGGAAAACGATCCCATTATTTATAATACTCAGACGGACAATAGCAAAAACAGCTTTAGCTAGAAAGTAATAGAATTGAAGAGGAAAGAGAAGCGCAGAAAAACGACTGAATAAAGACAATAATATATGCAAAATAGTTCCGAGCCAAACTCAAGGAGAAAACTTAATTTTAAACTCTCTTAAGAAAAATCTGCTGCTTCAGAACTATTATAGAAAAGCATAGAAATCATGGACTCTTACAATACCAATCAAAGAAGCATACAAATTAATGTAAATAACTCTTTGAACAGAGACTTGACTATCAATGATTAATCTAAGATCAATTCAAGTCCCTCATTCTAATTATCTCCTACTAAATAGTCTTAGTAAAATGGGAATAGTCATATTAACCTTAAAGAGATATAGATGCTTAAAAATGAAGTTAATTCATTCACCAATTAAATTTAGAACTTTAGGCTATCTTAGAGCAAAGAGTAAAATTAGAAGTCAAGAGTACTAGAGGATATCTAAAACAAACTTTCAAATATTAGAGAGACCTATTAAGATCAAATGCAGCTGAGAAAATAGGACGAATAGAATAAGAAAGAGAAAATACTAATAGACAACTACCTAAAGCATGAAGATGAGAAAATGGAAGAGAAACTTAAACAGTTAAGGAGGCATAAATATATGATAACTTAAAGCCTAGATGCTGGTAGAATTAAGGACGAAAGAAATTAGGAAATTATGAGAATGGTACAGGAGAGAAGTTTTTAAAATTAGATTAATCCAGATAAAAATACTCTAATTATACAGTCATAAGAATAAAATAGATCGGTATAAAATTTCATTGTAAATCCAGCAACTCGTACTGGGCATAACTAATCTAACACTAGCATTCATATCCAGGAAAATTCTAGTCAGTTGAGAGCTTCTTATGAATAAAACAAATATTATCAAAAGGCATTAAGTATAAATTAAAGCTTGAATAATTCGAATGCTAATGAAAAGAGATATGTTGGGATTAATTAACTGCTTTTGAATTTTAAATCCTAATGAAAACAATAATTTTTTAGTAAATCCATTTGATATAATATGGGGTTTTGGGGTTTTGGGGTTTTGGGG